CTCTCCCCTCCGATTCCGATGCAGCCAGCCCGCGGTCGGTCTCTCCAGCGGCTGCCTGCACAGAGCTGTCATCCCCGCGCTGTGGCCCAGGGCCCTGTGCTCAGCCTCAGTCACTCACTCAGGGCCACCTGGGGTCCCCAGTCTTCCCTCCCAGAGAGCACCCGCCGCCTGTTCTGAGGCAGCCCAGCCAGCTATGCGTGGAGGCTGGGAAGTGTTTGGGAGTCGGCCTACCTCCCGGCCGTAACCCTATAAGGGAAAGTATGTTGGGGCCTTGCCGTGTGGCAGCTCCGTGCTCCCTGCCGCACGAGTCTTGTCCCTCACTGAGCCCCTCCGAGTGCTCCCGCTGGCGCCTGCCTCAGCAGAGAGGCCTGCCCAGGTGCCACCAGCCAGCTTGAGAGATGACCTGTCAGAGCGCCCCGCCCGGGGCTGTCTGTGCTCTAAGAATGTCACACGGAGCAGTTGCTATTGAGGACGGGCTCTGGTATTTCTCTCTGCACCGGTCTCTTCCAAACACATCCCAGGACTCTGGTCTGTTACGGAGATCTGGGAACACGCCGCGAGGGGTACTGCGTGTCTGTGGGGGGCTAGCTTCCCTGGCAGGCCTCGTGCTAGGCCCTCTCGGTGCAGAGGGAGGTCACACGGAGGCCCCTGACCAGGCTGCCCCCGACGGGGGAGGAGACAGTCACCGCAGTCACAGCGTGGTGAGGCTGACGAAGGTGGGCCGAGGTGCTGGGAGCCGAGCTGAGCGTGGACGGGTACAGGCGAGTTGGGGTGTGTGTGGGGGACCAGCCAGGGAGGCACAGGTGAGGGTGCACCCGCAGAGAGCAGCAGGGAGCGCCGAGGTCATCGTGGGAAGCAGCCCGATGCGTGCGGGGAAACTGCCTCATTCAGACGAGCTGAGAGGGACGCGCAGGCGGGAGGGGAAGGAGATGGGCTGGACAAGGAGGCAGCGGCCGGGAGCCCGGTACAGGTCGGGGAAGGCATTGCAAAGAGGAGATCGGGGACAGTGCGGGGTCAGGGAAGCAGGCTGGTCCTGGGCCAGCCATGTGTCACAGACGACTTCTTCACTGGGCCCTCAGAGGTGGCCCCGGGTCCTCACTGAGCGACACGGGAGAGGGGCTTTGTGAAGCCGGTGCCCGGCCCCGCCTCTGAGACGGCAGGAGGAGCCGTGGCGGGGCGGGCCAGCAGCGAAGGGCGGCTCCCCAGGTCCCGGGACGCGTGGAACTGGGGCGTGCGGGCCACCACTCGGGCCTCCCTCTCCAGGGCCGCAGGCTTTTGTTTCTCTTCGTCTCCTCCATCCGTCCTTTCCGTTTACATCTGAGTCCGAGTCGAAGTTGGACGATCTTTCCCCCACACCAAGGTTATAAAAGAAGGCACCTCCTCTCCGCAAGGACTTAATGCTTGCACTTTAACATTTTGATTCTCAAGTGTCTTTATAGCTCTTTCTGGTATATGATCTAAGGTATGTGTTCAGTTTCATTTATTTTTTCCATTACGACAAGTTGTCCTGCTCTAAGGATGAGGCTGTCGTTGCCCTGGCTCTGAGGCCCGGCACGCGTGGATGCTGTGTGCCCGCCGGCGGTTGTGCCCGTGCCTCCGTCAGGGTCTTCAGCTGCGAAGGGTGCGGTAGCCGGAGGAAGAGCAGGCTGGGAAGGAATCCCCTCAACCAGCAGTTCCCGGACTGTTTGCTTAGGACTTTTTGGTCTTAAAATATGGAGTGAAGACCCCAAGGAGCTGTGTTTGTGTGGGGACATCACAGGCACTCGCCGTACCGGAACACAGAGCTGGCAGACTTGTTAGCGCTTCATATAAGAGATGATGTGTATTTCTGAGCAGTGGCCGTACTCAGCTACGAGGTGGCTGAGAGCGCACTGCGGCTGCTTCGGCGGAGGTCCCGGACGCAGGCTGGCCTCCCGGAGGCGAGTGGCTCTCGCCCCTGCGTCTGCGTGCCGAGCGCTCCGAGACCTGGTTCTGGTGGAAGCACATGAGCAAAGCTGGCCCCCGCAGACATGTGGTTGAAAAGACGAGTATCTTAGGGCCTTTTCAGAAAATCGTAGGTCGTTTTCTTTGATTCTACACCCAAACTTGACAAGTGCTAGTTCCTTAAGGTGAGCTGCAGTGTGGACTCCAGAGCAATAGCGAAAGGAGCACTTCAGCCCGGCCGGGTGGCTCAGTGGGTGAGCATCGACCTATGAACCAGGAGGTCACGGTTCCATCCCGGTCAGGCTACATGCCTGGGTTGCAGGTTCAATCCCCAGTAGGGAGCGTGCAGGAGGCAGCCGGTCTATGATTCTCATCATTTATGTTTCTGTCTCTCTCTCCCTCTCCCTTCCTCCCTCTCTGAAATGAAAAACCTCACCCATAGGTGCATGATTTTTGTCCAGTTTCTTCCCGCATCTCCCACACCCCTTTTCCCCCCAAGAATAGTTAGTCCGTTCCCTTTCTATGTCCCTGATTCTATTATAATCACCAGTTCATTCTGTACATCAGGTTATTTATTCACTTGATTCTTAGATTCACTTGTTGATAGATGCATATTTGTTGTTCATAATTTGTATCTTTACCTTTTTCTTCTTCTTCCTCTTCTTAAAGGATACCTTTCAGCATTTCATATAATACTGGTTTGGTGGTGATGAACTCCTTTAGCTTTTCCTTATCTGTGAAGCTCTTTATCTGACCTTCAATTCTGAATGATAGCTTTGCTGGATAAAGTATTCTTGGTTGTAGGTTCTTGGTATTCATCACTTTGAATATTTCTTGCCATTCCCTTCTGGCCTGCAAAGTTTCTGTTGAGAAATCAGCTGACAGTCGTATGGGTATTCCCTTGTAGGTAACTGAGTTTCTTTCTCTTGCTGCTTTTAAGATTCTCTCTTTGTCTTTTGCTCTTGGCATTTTAATTATGATGTGTCTTGGTGTGGTCCTCTTTGGATTCCTTTTGTTTGGGGTTCTCTGCGCTTCCTGGACTTGTAAGTCTATTTCTTTCACCAGGTGGGGGAAGTTTTCTGTCATTATTTCTTCAAATAGGTTTTCAATATCTTGCTCTCTCTCATCTTCTGGTACCCCTATAATTCTGATGTTGGTACGTTTGAAGCTGTCCCAGAGGCTCCTTACACTATCTTCGTATTTTTGGGTTCTTTTTTCATTTTGCTTTTCCGGTTGGGTGTTTCTCGCTTCTTCGCATTTCGAATCTTTGACTTGATTCTTGCGCTCCTCTGGTCTGCTGTTGGGAGTCTGTATAATATTCTTTATTTCAGTCAGTGTATGCTTACTTTCTAGATGGTCCTTTATCACACCATCGAGGGTCTCATTAGATTTCCTGTACATCTCATCAAGTTTATCGACAGACTCTAGAAGCCTCTTGAGAGACCTCAAAAGTGTGGTTTTGAATTCTATATCCAGTAGCCTGCTTTCCTCCGGTTCTGTTCTTTGTGGCCTGTTTCTTTGTCTCGGCATTTTTTTATGCTTCGCTGTGTCAATAGAGTGGCTTTCCGTGTTAAGTGTCCCAATTACCTGAGGTAGACACTCTTGGTGCACCCCCTTGTGGTCTTTGTGCCCAGTCTTGTTGTAGTTAAGCCTTGATTGTTGTAGGTAATTACTACTTGACCTCCAGGCCAACTGGCTCTAAAAATATATTTTTAAGACACTGCATTCTGCTGTGTTAGAGCACTTTGCCTGATGCACATGAAGGGGTCCCACCCGTGTGTGGCCGTGTGGCATTGTGGCTCACTGAGCGGTGCCGACCGTCCCAGTGCTGGCCGCTGCATGACACGAATCAGAAAACCACCAGGCTGCCTCAGGCTGAGAAGTGGCTCCCCCTCCCCTCCGCCCCGGGCATTAAAGAAGTGTGTCCTCGAGGGTTTGGAGATAGAATAAAAGCAGTGGGTTTCCTGCTTCATCAGAGTCATCAGACACTTCCGAGCAAAAGCATTGGTTTTGTTTTGGAACCGCAGGTGTGTGGTGAGGTACAGTGACCACCGGTACATGTGGGGTCGCTGCTTTGACTAAGAGGCCACCCTGGCGTTTGCACCGGGCGTGCAGAAAAAGGCGAATAGCGCCTTAATGTGATGAGAACAGCTCGATCCTAAAAGGAGTCCGGCAGAGGTTAGAGGCATGATTTGAAACTTGCTGATACCCTAGCCAGTGTGGCGCAGTGAATAGAGCATCAGCCCGAGGACTAAAGGGTCCCGGGTCAAGGGCACGTACCTCAGTTTCAGGCTTGATTCCCGGGCCTGGCTAGGGCACGAGTGGGAGGCAACCAATCGATGTCTCTCTCACATCAGTGTTTGTCTCTTTGTCTCTCCCTCTCCCTTCCACTCTCTTAAAAAATCAATGGAAAAGTATCCTCGGGTGAGGATTAACAAAAACAAACAAACAAAAAACTTGCTGATGATTTAAATCTTTCTGATGATTTAAAACTTGCTCATGATTTAAAACGTGCTGACATCGCCACGCAGCCTGTCTGTGGACATCAAGGGAAGGGCTGCCCAGCCCGAGAAGGAAGACGCGGTGGGAAGCAGGCCTGGCCGTGCCCTGGAAGCCCTCCTGGCCTCCCGCATCCCTGTGGCAACGTGTAAACACGTGCACAGCCTTCGTGGGGGGAGCCAGCCCTACAAAAGCAGTCGGGTGTGAGTATCTGAAACCAGGTCCTAGTGGTTCTTGGAAAACTGCTTGGCATTTGAAACTCCGTCTCCTTCTTGACATTGGAATTTAATATGGTGCAAATGACACCAAGTGGTGATGTCAGGCTTGACTCCATCTGCGGGCGGCGTGGCTTGGGCGCCTCCCAGCCGAGCATGCTGCCTGGGAGCAAGTGCAGGGGTAGCACGCGTGTCCGGAAGAGGGTGCGTGACGCTGTTGGGGGCCTGGTTCCAGCAGGCCTGTTCACGTGGGAACGCCATATTCAACCAGCACGGAAGTGAAAGGCTTTGAGTCAGATTGGCATTTGTATTTAGACTTTTGCAAATCAGCGCGTCTAATGACATCTTCCTCCCTTGTTTCAGCAATGGAGGAGTTAATAGTGGAACTTCGCCTCTTTCTTGAACTCCTGGACCACGAATACCTAACATCCACGGTCAGGGAGAAGAAGGCCGTGATCGCAGACATCCTGCTCAGGATACAGGCCTCCAGAGGTGCGTGCCCCCCACAGCCTCCCCGTCCCCTTGGCCTCGCACACCTCGAGCCCCTCCCTTTCCTAAAACGTAGTCCTTTGTGTAGTAGCGTAGGACTTTGTTTAATCAGGAAGTTGTCCCTGAAGGCCTTACTGTATGCCAGGTGCTAGCCTTTAAGGAGCTAAAGGAACAGTGGGTGTGTTGGGGGCCCCCAGAGCACCCCACCCTTTGGAGATTCACTGGGAAGCCTTTAAGGAGCTAAAGGAACAGTGGGTGTGTTGGGAGCACCCCACCCTTTGGAGATGCACTGGGCGGACTCAGCATAGAGTGGTACCTTCTCATGCCCAGGATTTGTTTGTTACGGGGGTAGGGAGGGTGCACAGGCAGGTTGAGGGGAAAGGCGGCGTGGGCTGGAGGAGCCTTCCTTATGCCGGTCCCTCCCTGAGTGTCGCACGGAGCATGGCCTTCCCTCAGCAGAACAAGCGCAGCCACCTGTGAGCCCCCAAATCCCAGAATCCCAGAAAAGGGTGTGTTAGGGTGACAGAACCAGAGCCAATGGGAGAGAGGGAGGGCGGGAGAGAGAGAGAGGAGAGAGGAGATTAACTTAGGGGCTGGCTTTTGCGGCTATGGAGGCTGAGAAGGCCCTCGATCTCGCTGCAGGGAGAGACCAGGACAGCGGCGGTGGGTTAGCTCGGTCGGGAGGCCTGGAACCGGGGCTGGTGGGGTGAGTCCTGATCTGAGTCCAAAGCGCCAGACCCGGTGTCGAGGCAGGAGGAGAGGGATGTCCCAGTCCAGCCGAGAGCCTGCTGCTCCTCCTCCAACTTCGGTGCTATCCGGGCCCTCCCTGGTGGGCGCTGCCCACCCACTCAGCTCCCAATTCCAGTGCCAGTCTCTTCCAGAAGCCCCTCCCAGACACACCCAGAAACAGGGCTCCCCCAGCTCCCTGCATCCCTCTGCCCAGTCAGGTGCACACCACAGCCGGTGTTTGGTGTAAACCACGTGTTTGCACACATAGTCTAGGCACAGCGAACCAACCCCAGCCATTAGGACCATGGCAGCTCTGAGATCCATGCTCCCGGGTGCCAGCCACGGCCATCGCTGCCAGCAGGCCCTTCAGAGAGAGCAGCCTCAGGCCAGCTTGTGCCAGAGGGTAGGACGGGGAAGGTGGGGGCAGCCTGGTCTGCATGCGGTACACCAGGGAGTAGGAGAGCCCTCGGAGGGAATCCGGTCTGTTCAGTGAGAGAGTGTGGCGGGGGGGCGGGCCGTGCAGGGGGTCCGGGGGGTTCTGGGAGACCGAGGAGGAAGCTGGAGGAGACTGAGGGTTCCTTCTCCATGGCTTCCTGAGGTCTGTCACGCACACACTCAGCCCGTTTTGAGGGTACAGCTCGTTGGCTTTTAGGGCATGAAGCCATGTAGGACACAGCTAGGTTGCATTCTGGACCTCGGGGGAAGGACTGTAGCAGATTAAAGGGGGGCCACGGGAGGCCTGTGGGTGGGGACCTGCCCCCGAGAGGGAGCTCAGGAGAGGACCTGGGGCACATGGGCAGTGCTCGCTGTGGAAAGGGTCTCGCTGCCTCCCTGCCCACCTCCTCCATGTGTGTCTCCGCTGGTCCCACAGTGTGCGGTTGGAAGAGTGAGTCTGCGGTGCCTTTTCGGATACGGGTAAATGTCTCCTCTGATACTGCACCGGACTCAGCAAGGGGTCGCTTCTTCAGGGTCGGATGCAGTGCAGACAGACGGGTCTGGCTTCCTGGCTGGGCCCGTCGCCAAGTACGTGACCTCGCACAGTCACTCTTTCTGCTTCAGGTTCCTCATCTGCGAACCCCTAGAGCGTTGTCGGGACGGAAGGAGATCATATAGCGCATTTCCAAACGGCCTGCACAGAGCCGTTCGGAGCGTTTCTCTCCAGCTCGCCTCCTCGGCCAGCCCTGCTCTCCGCCCCGCAGGGCCTCTGCCCGCAGCCCCCCCTCCCTTCCTCTGCCCCCCGAGTCCCAGGCCTTTGTCTCTTCACGCTTCATTCGGACGTATCTCCTGGTATTTCCACTTCACGGATTCTCTCCTTGGCTCTTCAATTTGCTTAAGACTCACCCACTGGCGGTTACTTTTGTCCTCTTTTTTTCCTTTCCTCTTTACTGTCCCAGTTCTCCGCCAGCGTCTGAGGGCAGGGACTCTGACTCCGTATGTCCCCGCCGGTAGCTCCGTGCTGGCCACTCCAGGTGATCACTGGGAAGTGGTGGCTTCCTAGGTCTTCCCAGGCGAGCTCTTGACTAGAAAGAGTGCTGCGCCCAATGGAAACTCCTTCTTCCTCCTCTGGCCGCCCTGCCTCATGCTCACGTGCGTTCTAAGTCAGCCGCGTGTGTCTTCCTTCCCAGCTCGGACCTGGGAGGACGCACTGTGCCCGTCATGTCAGCCTCTGAGTCCAGGAGGGACTCCTACAGACTTGCTGTTCCCAGAGCCTCTGCCCTTAGGGCACAGACACGGGCACAGGGCAGCCGGGGGGGAGCTCAGGGAGCAGGTCCCTGAGAGGCCGTGGCCCCGAGGGAAAGCACAGGTGTTGCTGCGGCCCCACCGCTTCCTGCTGTTAGGGCTGCAGCGGGGTCTTTAACCGTTTCCGCCAGAGGTTCCTCGTCTGTAAGATGGAGAAGGATCCCCCTGCCCTGCAGGGCGGGGTCTGTGGAGTCCACTGGGCTGAGGAGGTGAGAGCCGTCCTCCTCACCCGGGCCTGTTTGGCTGATCCCCGCAGGTTCTGAAGTGAGAGACCACGTTCCGAAGCAGGAGACCCCCAGCAGCCTGCCGGCCCCTCCCCAGATGCCTCTGCCGGAGATCCCGCAGCCCTGGCTGGTGAGTTGTCCCGGCCCGATTCTGGGGGAAAGGAGGCCACCCCTGAGTGTGTGGGAGCCGCTAGGAGCAGCAGGGAGGAGGCGGGTCGCCTTCCCGGAGGCTGGTGTTTCTTTGACAATCAATGCGGCTACACGGCTGTGGAAATCAGAGAACTTAGCGGCAAAATATCGACAGGAGCTGGGACTTGACTCGCTCTCTGGGTTAGCCGCACTGGAATGCCTTTTCTGAATCGTTGAAATGCTTCTTCTGGGATAAAAAGTTCTTTAAAAGAAAAATACGTACATATTCCTGGAATGTATGTTTTATCTGACCGTACGCGTTCAAAACTTGCTCTGGAGTTCTTTGCCGCCTTTGCAGTCTGGGCCCACTCACAGGTCCATGTGTTCCCCCTTTCCTGCCCTTGGCTGCTTTCTCTCGAGCTTACCAGGGAACTTGGATGTTCACTCAAAGTCTGAGCGCAGTCGGGCACAGGGCAGTTCTCTCTCACGTCCGCACGGTCACTCCGCCTGGAGGGGAGCTGCCGGAAGCAGGGCCACTGCCCCGCCTGGGCCGCAGGTGGCTGAGGCCAGTGCTACGCAGTGATGACCTCGTTATTTATTTATTTATTTCTTCATTATTTGTTGTTGTTATTGTTTTTAATTGAGAGAGAAATAGAAGCATCGATGAGGTAGAATCATTGATCGGCTGCCTCCTGTATGCCCCCCACTGGGGATTGAGCCCTCAGCCTGGGCATGTGTCCTTAACCTGGAATCGAATCGTGACCTCCTGGTTCACAGATCGACACCCAACCACTGAGCCACACCGGCAGGGCCCCCCTTTTCTTTCTAACAGGGTCCCGGCAGTGTTGGGAGCCTGGCACGATGCCGGGCACGCCTCCTCACGCCTTCAGTCCCTGCTTCCCTGGCGCTGACTGTGATGAGCACCAGGCAGACCCGAATCGTCCCAGGGCTCCCAGCTCAGGATGGGCCTCGGAGAAGCCAGCGCTGGAGACTCGGCGGGGCAGCGGTGTGGGGGCAGCTGTGGGGACAACGAGGAGAGGCACCTGAGCCAGTTCTGGGGGGCGCGCCCCCGGTTCCGCTTGGGAAGGGGACTCGGTGCCGGAGCTGGGTTTGCAAGGCGCTCCCGGGACAGG